ATAAACCGGTGCACCAAGTGTTGACAGGGCAGTCAAGACAAATTCACTTGGAGAAACTGATTTAAATTTTGGAAAAAACAAGGCATAAGGATCAAAAGGGACCAAGAGAAGGAATGAAGTTATATATCAAAAAGCCAGAGTATGAATGCCAGGTTGATATCAGGTCCAAATGATGGTAGAAATGGAGTTGGCATGAGAAATGAGTGCCATGGTAATTGCAAAACAACAAACCAAACTAAACCAAGCCAGCTTCTCTTCCCCCAAAAGCCCCCAAATAAAACCCACAAGTGAGCAATACCAGCTTGGTCTTTATGTAGTGGTGTGTGTGATTCACAGGTGGCTTGGACCAAAGGTCAAGGAAGACCTCATTATGGAATTCTTTTAGATGGATTCTTAGCTGGTTAAACAGCCACACTCAATATAAAATTGAGTTAACTAGTTAAGGAATGAATGTCGGCCTAGATAACATCTCCAGCTGAGTGTCTCAGCCTGTCATGTTAAATATTTTTTATCAGTGACTTAAAGGAATGCATGAAAAGCATACATATTAGACCTGCAGGTGAAAAAACATAGGAGGAACAGTTGATGGCAGGTTCAAGTTTTTAAAAGAAGATTCAAAGAGACCCAAGGATCTAGGTCATTGAATCAAAGATAACAACAATGGGGCTTTAGGAAGGATAATTGTTAATTTGATAACTTTTAAGAACAAAAGTAAATACGTTCTCCACATTAAAAAGAGTAAAAAGAAACAGATGAAATTAATTTTAGTGATATATTTAACCAATAAATCCAATATATTATAATTTCAACACAAAATAAATATAAAATCATTAATGAGATATTTTGTGTTTTTCTTAAGTCTTTACATCAAGTATGTATTTTACTTGTAGCATATTTTATTTTATTCTATTTTTTAGCACATTTCATTTTAGACTGACCGTAGTTCAAGTACTAGAGAGCCACACAAGCTGTTGGCTACCATTTTGGACAGCACAGGTCTAAAAGGACATTGGTCAAAAAAACTAATAATGAACAGCTACTCCAGTTGTAAGAACATTTAGTTAATAAACGGTAGAAGTCTGATATGATTGAATGCTTGTGGCTTGTTAAGTCTAAGTGTAATATGGCCATAAACACAGATCTTTGCATGGGTTGTAATTGTCAACTGACTTGGAACCAGAAACACTTGCCTATCTCAATAAATCTATGCTGAGTGGTGCAGAAAAGGCATACTTTAACCTTTTATTGAGGAATAAGTGAACTCCCTTGTATGACTATTGATATAAGACTCCTGACATAGACTAGAAAAACAATGTGGAGTTTATCATGAGACCTAATCAGATCACTAAAAGTTGGATTTCAGGATCATGCAGGTGTATGTGCCTCCAATTTCCTGAGGCTCTGTTGAATTTTCTCCATATGCTCTTCCTTTTAGCTGTTCATAAAAGCTTCATAAGTCTGTGTTGATTTAGTTTGCGTTAAATGTGTGACTAAGCGTTAAAAGTGGAAGGTTGGGACTCAGGGAAGACAGGAAGTGAGATGAGGGGTCAGAGTGCTGGGCAACATTCAGTTTTCACACTAGTTGGGCAGACATGGGGAAAAGTGAGACCTAACTCAGAGCTGGAGGATGTGGGATGTGAAGCAGTTGGAAACTTTGTGAACAACAAAGAGGCAATTGAGTGGGAGGGAACAAGTGTGGGGCAGATCATGGATGGCAGCCTCTGGTTCCACTGTGGCCTGTGTTGAGGGTCTTCAATCCCCAAATACTCTCCCATTTGTGGATGGCATGGTACCTGAAATTCCTTTGGATGATATCTTATCTCCAGGATCTTCTACTAACATACAGATATTCTTGGGAAAGTGATATAGCCAATGGTGAACATTATTTATAGATTGTAAACATGCTTTTAGATTCAGTTGTTTTCCACCAAACTGAGGGAGTCTAGAAACAGAGTAGCTCTGGATTGGAAGAGAAGAGACTAAAAAAAAAAAAAAAAAAAAAAGAGGAAAAGATGATAAAATAAGGTATATTGTGGGAAAGGAGATTATTAGTGCCGCAGAAACGTTTTATAAGTTGTCTGGTCTGTTCTGTTTCTCCAAACGACCTATCTGATCCCTCTAGGTTACTGATATGTTTGGTGTAAATGCTTCTCTGACTTACTTTCTCTGTATGCACACACCAACAGCACACGTTCATGAACATTGGCTTTCTCTGTAGGCTCAGACTAGATATTGCCATGAAACTTGCATAATTCACTCAATATATTATAGACATGTCTTCAGGTTAATGTATATAATTTAATGCATTTTAATTAAGTGTAAGTATAAAGAATGGAAGTATAATTTATTGAGTTGCTTTCCTATTAATGGACATTCAGGGTACTTTTAGGGGTGGTCACTATCTCTCCCATCTTTCAAATAATGGTTTCCCAATCTTTTCCCAGAACATAAAATATATTATTACATAGTAGGTCCCACTAATATGAGAACATTACAGATTCTGATCTTATTAAAAAATATCCAAATTTTATAATAGCTTCCTGAAATTGGAGGTTCTAATTGCACTCCAATAGGAACAAGAAAATGATGACTGGAGGTTCTAGGGCAATGTTTGTTTCTTGCTTTTAAAAATAGCTTTATTGAATGGTGCCTGGGTGGCTCAGTCAGTTGAGCATCCGGTTCTTGATTTCAGCTCAGGTCATGATCTCATGGCTGTGGGATTGAGTCCTGCCAGGGTAGAGTCCTGCTTAAGATTCTCCCTCTGCCCTTCCCCTTGCTCATGCACACTCTGTCTCTAAAAAATAAGATAAATAAAATAGCTGGATTGAATGACATATAATAAATTAAAAATATTTAGATCCACAACTTGATAATATGGAAATCATCACCATAATCAATATAATTAATACATTTATCATCCTCAAGGCTCTCTGTGCCTGTGTCACTGTTCCTCCCCATTGTCTCTGCCCCTCTCACCAGCAGTTACTGATTTGCTCTCTGTCATGATAGTTTACATTTTCTATAGTTTTGTGACAATGGGATCATACAGTAGGTACTCCTTTTTGTCTGGCTTATTTCACCCAGCATAATTATTTTGAGATTCTTCCACACGGCCCCACATATCAATAGTTTATTCTTTTTCATTGCTGAGTAGCCTCTTATGGTGTGGGTATGCCACAATTTGTTCACCCATTCACCTGTTGATAAATATTTGGGGTGTTTCCAGTTTGGGGCCTCTACAAATAAAACTACTATTAACACTCACATAAGTGTCTTCGTATGGACATAGGCTTTTATTTCTCTCTCACAAATACATAGACATAGAATAGTGGGATCACATGGTAAGAATATGCTTCATGTTTGAAGAAATCGTTTCCAAAATGGTTGTCCGTCTCAAAAATATTCATCATCTCCTAAAAAGTATGGTCTGAGAATTCCTGAAATAATGTCTGTGAAAGATCTGATAGGTCTTAAAACTGAGATATATCCATAATTCTATCAGCTGAGGAATAGTTATTGACTTCCTGGTGTTTCCAGATATTGTGCATGATAAATGTTGAGTTACCATTATGGCCAGGTCCCTCCCTGGCCCAGGTTAGAACATACCTGGCCACTAGAGGAGGTAGAAAGTCAGACTTCCAGAAGTGCCAACTTCGGGGACAGCACAGAGAAAACTGACTCTGATGAGGGGAGGAGGACTCTCCAAGGGGAATTATTCAGACAGACTGGCAGGATTATAGGTTAAGAAAGTGAGAGTGAAAAGGGCCATTTAAGGAATCTCAACTTTAGCTTATTTCATTTATTCATTAAATACAAACATATTTTAATACCTGCTATATCCTTCAGATATCTCGATTAACAAAACAAAGACCCCTGCCTTCATGGAGTTTACATTCTGCCTGGAAAAATACAATAAACTATAGATCTAGGTAAATAAATAAGCAAATGATCTGTTAAACAAGAGTTAAGTACTGTGGAAGAAACTGAGCCGGGGAAGTGTGATTAGACGTGGAGCAGCCAGTTCTAATTTCAGGTGGGAGATAATCAAGGGGGTATATTTAGAATCTAAATATAATAGTATATATATTATAATACAAATTCTAAAATTATTCCAACATAATTAGAATCTGCTCTGCAAACCACTTTGAAACCTTCGGCTCTCTGGCTGCCGCACTGTCACCTTGCAGCCACTAGGGCTCAAATGGTCCATTAATGAGAAAAAAAGGGATGAGGGTGGGGGTGTGAGGGAGACGTGGGTAGTCAGGTACACACCCTCCCCCAGGCGTTCCGCAGGGGCAGCTCCATCAAGGGCACTGGCAAGACGGGCGGGAGAGTGTTACTGTGTGTCCAGGACCAAGACTTGCCTTTGCCCTTGCCTTTCCTTCCTTGGCGCGTCCTCAGCCGGCAGGGGCTGGGGGCCGAGCTGAGGCATCAACTTCAGCCTGGCGGTTCAGCCCCCCGATACGTGCGTGTCACAGCCGAGTGATGGTGGAGACAGGCAGACCTGCCGGCCTCGTCTTCGGGCCCTGCAAAGAGATCTTGGGGCCGCTGCGCGAGTCGGTACAAAAGCCCCGGTACCAGATGCTTTCTGTATTCCCTTGTAATATTTAAGGCATCACTAAGCTGTAAGCATTCACCTTGACGTGCAGGTTTCTGGATACTTCCCACGCTCAGCCTCTGCGAGCAGATCGGTGACCGTTCTCCTCCTCTGGACGAGATCCCATCCGGTCGCCCTCTCTGGAGCTGAGCGCTGCCGGCCTTTTGGCGGGGAGGGAGCTCGGCGAGGCCAGGCTCCCGGCCTCTCAGCGCCGGCCGAGCAGGGGCGCGCACGCGTGGGGCGCCGCTGGTTGCGCATCTGGCGCCAGAGCGCGCCCCCCGCGCAGTGCCCGCCAGGGCCGCGGCGGTGGCTTGGTGCTCCGGAGCGTGCGGGGCGCTGTCTCCCCGCGCGGGGGCACCAGAGCTCTCGCAAGTGTCGGGCACTGCGGTGCATTTTTCCCAGTTCCCTTTTAAATGACTGCGGAAAAACAGACTCTCGGAGCCGCAAATGGGAAGACGGATTCTCAGGCAAGGCTTGCGAATGCCCCGCAGCCATCATTTAACTGCGCCCGCAGAGCAGTTACGGTGTGTCCCTCGACCCTCCCGGATCGCCTCGTGTGTCCCTAGTGAGACCCCGAGGCTCTGCCCGCGCCGGGCTTGTCGGTAGCTGGAAGCCTGTCGTGCTCTGGGCAGCGCGGGCGCAGGGCACGCGTTCGCGCACACCCGCGCACACACGAAAACGCGCAAGGTACGGCAGGGGAGCAAGGGCTCGGGGTGCCCCGCGGGGGCGGGGGTGGGCATCGCGGGGAGTGAAGCGACGACCTGGGAACCGCTGAATCCTGCCAGGTTGAAGGAGGAGAGAAAATGACGCGGCGCCACGCATCGGACAGGCCAGGGTTGCCGCGGCGCATTTAGGGAACCCGATAAGCGTCAGGCGCGCTCCCTTCCCCTCACATGTCTCTGTTTCCCGGGCGTGTGATGCCGGAACACGGCAGGAGAAAGACCCACTTAGGGAGCTAGAGTTGCATTTGGAGACTCCCCTCCCTCTGCAAAAGCACCAACAGGAAGACCCTCCAAAACCATGGATCCTCAAATAGATGGCCCGGGATAGGGGCGGTTATCCTTGGTTACCAATGCCGAGCACGTTTTGGTGTTTACAATATTTATTTATTTTTAGGCCAGCTCGCCCTCCCTTTTAGGCAGGATGGGAAAGGAGCACGCAGCGGGGTGGGAGAGGGGAGGGAGGATTCCTATAATAAGAATCAGCGCATTTTTCAGAGCTGAACCGAGCCCGGTTTCCATTTCAAAAAAGGAGACAGCCTCTACTGCGATGGTAGAAGAGACCGCGGTGTGACTTAGGGACTGAGAGCGTCGGGCGGTGGAATGGTCCATCTCGGAGGTACCTGGCTCTCAGTGCGCGCGCACACACACACACACACACACACACACACACACACACGCAGGCGCGCGCGTCTACCCAGCCAGGATGTGTGCGTGTGTGCGCGTGTATGAACTCCCACATGCTGCTGCTGTCTGCTCCTGGCCAGTGGCACCGATGCCTGCCTCCTCCCCGCTCGCCCCCAGATTCCCCTCCCCTCCCTGTTGCTTTTGTCTGGAGGGTGTTATGGGTTTGTGTGTGTATGAGCGTGTGTGTTTTTGGATTTCAGACTAATTTTCTGGAGTTTCTGCCCCTGCTCTGCGTCAGCCTTCACGTCACTTCGCCAGCAGTAGCAGAGGCGGCGGCGGCGGCGGCTCCCGGAATTGGGTTGGAGCAGGAGCCTCGCTCGCTCCTTCGCTCGCGCTCTCGGCGCTCAGTGCCCGGCGGCAGGAGGAGCCTGCACCCCGGCGCCGCCGGCGGGCGGTAGGCGCCGGAGCCCGGGTGAGCAGCGCGGACAGTGCCCTCCGGCGCCTTGGCCCTCGCTCCCCCCACCCCCCGGGGCGGCCGGGGGTGCTCCCCAGGTGGGACGCGCCACGCCACCTGCCCGCACCCCCTGCGCCCGGCGGCCGTGGCGGATTCTGCAGCATCATTGGGGGCCCCGTCGCGGAGCCATCGCCGCCGCCGGCGGTCTCCGCGTCCCCCTTTGAAGGGTCCTTCGCCTGGCCTGTGCCATGGAATCCCGTCTCGGGGACGCTTGCTCTGTCTCCCCTCCCTCGACCTCAGGTTGGGGTGGGGTAGCGGGGGGCACATCAGTGGCCTCGGCGGCGTCAGTGCCATCGAGGGGCAAGTTTATTTCTGGGGCCGGAGCTGTGCACGCATCCATCCATCCACAGGGCCCGGCTGGGGTCGGGGTGGGGGTGCGGCGAGCGCGCCGTATGGGGTCCTGCGCTCAGTCTCACGCGTGTTTGTTTGTCCTCAGCCCCGAGGTGCGTCCCGGATCCCAGTGCGCGTCTAGCAAGGAGCCTGCGTCCCAGGGGGTGCCGGCAGCGCCGCGGGCCGGTGCTCGGTGCGCCGGGCCATGCAGCGGCGGCCGCGGCGGGGCTCCGAGCGGCGGTAGCGCCCCCTGTGAGGCGACCAGAGATGCCCCGGCCACTGTGAACCGCGCCGCCCGCCAGGACACGCTCAGCCCGGGACACGCTCGGCTCTGCGCGCCCGCGACAGGCACCGGGGCGAGGGAGCGAGCAGCGCGGCGCAGGCCGCCCAGCGGGGGCAGGGGAGGCCGGCCGGTGCGGCGCGGGGCCACCTACTCGCTCTGACTCCGGCTGGCACTGGCGGCTGGGGATGTCGTCCTGGACGAGGTGGCATGGACCGGCCATGGCGCGGCTCTGGGGCTTCTGCTGGCTGGTCGTGGGCTTCTGGAGGGCTGCTCTCGCCTGTCCCACGTCCTGCAAATGCAGTGCCTCTAGGATCTGGTGCAGCGACCCTTCTCCGGGCATCGTGGCGTTTCCGAGGTTGGAGCCCAACAGTGCAGACCCTGAGAACATCACCGAAATGTGAGTTCCTGGTGCTCTTCCTCCTTCCTTCTCTCCTTGCCCCTTGGACTGGGGCTGGCCAGGCGCGTCTGTCCGTCCGGGGCATGAATGTTGTCTAAGTCTGGGGAGAAGTCAGGCATGGGCAGGGCCATCTGTTAGTTACCTGTTTTTCTGGCTTGGGACTAGTACTACCTCGGGGAGAAGTGGACAGTGGAACAGAAGTTTCAAGTGTTCTATATGTGTCAATAACATAAATACATAGGTTCTTTTCAGAGATTCCATATACGCTCTGTATTTGAAAGCCCTGCTGGGTGTGCTTTAGGCTTTCCTTATGCAATAACTTAGTTTTGGACATTTTTGTTTCATAAGGTGCTAAGTGCATGTTAGGTTAGAAGTTCCAGTAATATATACTAGAAAGGAGGTTAAAATGATGAACTTTTTGAAATCTATTGAAGGAGATCAGAGTCCGTCCCCCCCCCCAACATCTTTCGCTGAGGTTTGCAGTTACCAGTGTCCCTTTGCATTTTATATATCAGATTTTTTGTTAGGAGATGGCATCCAGAGCTGGCCTTGAAAATGGTCTGTAAGAAGAGAAGTTCTGAGTGTTGAAATTGCGCTCTCTTGAAAGAGAAAATGTGCTCGTCGGAAGCCTAAAAGCCTGGTCTGATTTAATTTGGACTTGACTTCCCAGAGATATAATTTTGAGACCATTTGGATTATAAATCTTAATTGCCCATTGAAGGACTAGGTTGGATGATGACCGAGGACTAGGTTGGATGATAAAGCAGTGTGTAGTACTCTAATGAATGCTGCCTTTAGCATGGGACGGACCCCTGTGTCCCTGGAAATGTTTGAGCTTGTCTTGCTCTGATGGAGAAGCAGAATTGTGTATTTCTGTCCTCCTGTTCTGATGGCTTGTGACAAATACATTACCAAGTAAGAATTCACCAGTGCCTTCTCCAGCATCTCCCTGTCACCTCTACTAGATGTATATCCCACTCCCCCCGCCTCCCACCCCCCAAACTTTGTCACCACCTACATTTCACTGGCATGAGATTTTATTCATCCAAGTAGAGGATTGTAAGGCAAAGTTTCTCCCGGTTTTCCTTACGGTGTTTGATCCTAAGATAGGCAGCCCTGAAAATAGGGCTTGGGCTGTGGCCTTCCGGTTGGCGAGTGCGCATGCTTTTTTTCCTCCCGAGAAAACGCACGCCCTGTTTCTGCCAACGTAGTTGACTGAGATAACCTGTTTTTAATGTAAGTAAGAGACCTTTGTAGCCTCTGTTGCTTGTTCTGCTGGTGATGCTCATGTTATAAGGCTCGGCAGAAGGAAATGGCAGCAGCACAGGGGGAATGTACAGGCCTAGCAGAGCTGAGATGTGCTGGGAGCAACCAACTGTCAGGCTGCATCCAGGAGGCTGGGTGTTTTGTTTTTTTTTTTTTTTTTTGGCAAGGATCAAGGGAGGCAGAGCTGGATAGGAAGGTTGGGTAGGGCCTCAACTGTGCCGGCCCTGGTTGGCCTGGTCAAAGTGATTGTGGCCTCTCATCAGGATCTGTGTCTTTTTCATGAGACGGAGGGGGGGGTCTGTAGTCAGACGGAGGAAGCCATATGGAATTCAGAGCCCTTTGAACTAATTTGAAACCAGGGAGAGTGCCTTTATACAGTCAGACGTCTCGTGTTGTTGTGGATTGTTTTGAAATTCTGTATTAGATGATGCATCTATAATGAAGGAGGAAATGAGATAGAGCCAATCATTTTCACTCTGACATTTTTTTTTCACTGTAAGATTTTTAAGGCCCTAATCAGAGAAAAGGAAACTAAAACTCTCTTTAAGTTTAAAAAATGCTATTTTAAACCTTAGTGGTGTTAGCTGCCTGGTATTTATGAAATCAATAGAGTTGAGCTGAGCTTTCTTACATCAGTTCTCTCAATGCTGTTGTTTCCGTAATATCTGATGGCAGGTTCCTATTTCCAGGCTTTAAAAAATTGATTCTTCTTATTTTTACCAAAGTGTTTGTCAGTTGTTCAGTTAGTGGCACTCTTAATTTCTTCCATTATTTTTTTCTTTTGATTTGAAAATCCACTGAGATTGAAAGATTGGGGAGGTGTGTAGGGTTAGTATTTGGGATGGAGAATTTACGTTCCTTAGTGACACCAATGGGGCTGTTAGATGTGAGTTCTGAGAAAAAGTCTGTGTCTCAGCCCTGCGCCTCAGCTTTGTTTGCACCCAGCCAGTTTGTGCCCTCATGTCCTATAAAACATACCAAAATCCTTTTTTTGGAAAGCACTTCATATAATTATTTTGAATTCTGCTGTTTTGATATCAAAATGACATCAGTAGATGAGCTTGTTTCACTGTCATCCATATATGATACCATCTGGTTCTTTTTCTTACATATTAATATTTGCTTGAACAGCTTTATATTCTTGGCCAGGGGAATACCAGCTACAGTTGGAACCAAATTACTATTTTTTTTTTTACTTTATTATGAGACCCCATGGTATTCTTAAAATAACCTGGTTGAAAGTTGTAGTTTAATAGTGCTTAGCTGAAATTTCATGTTTCTATTTTTTTTTAGTAGGAAAAATGGAAATAAATAAACTAATTAAAACTTGCTGAAGCCACAGTTTACTGTATCATTTAAAAATGGTACGTCATTTAATATCTATATATTTGGGGAAGAGTACACCACTGTGCTTTTTGGGTTCAGAGAGAGCCCATGGTACAACATTCTAAAACTGTTTGCAGAAATTCATTAAGAGATAGTTTTATTTTTTGCTTCTACGTGCATATTTTAAGCTAAGCTGACATTTCATTTTTAGAGTCATTGTTGGAGGCTGTTTTATTAAAAATTCTATCGTAGTGTCTGTCTCATACTCTTTACACACCAACATGATCTATATGCCTATATCTCTCTTCTCTCTGTCTATAGAGATGCATCACACCTGCCCAGCATCACACTGCTGCTTAGCACCAGCTTTCTTACTCTGAGATGGTTATACCAAAGCCTTGCTAAGTTAAACTTTAAAACAATACCATTGTCACACATAAGTGGAATTCAGCCTGTTAGAGTTATGTAACTGGCCATTGACTCTCTGTAGTACCAGGTGCCAAAATGTACTGCAAAGGACAAGTTCTACCTCACCCAAGTGGGAAAAGAAATGGATAAAATAGGGATCCCTGGGTGGCGCAGCGGTTTGGCGCCTGCCTTTGGCCCGGGGCACGATCCTGGAGACCCGGGATAGAATCCCACGTGGGGCTCCTGGTGCATGGAGCCTGCTTCTCCCTCTGCCTGTGTCTCTGCCTCTCTCTCTCTCTCACTGTGTGCCTATCATAAATAAAGAAAAATTTAAAAAAAAAAAGAAATGGATAAAATAGATCATGCATTTTTTTAATTTTTTATTAGGGTCAAAAATGCCTAACATAAAATTTACCATCTTAACCATTTTTAAGTATACCATTTAGTAGTGTTAAGTGTTAAGTCTACTTATATGGTTGTGAAAGGGTGTGTTCATCATTATATTGCTCATATTTTATATAGATCAATGATGGCCCTTTTTTTCTGAATTTCTTGGGTGGTAGTTTCTGATTTGGGGGTCATAGACAAGTCTAATATTTTTCCTCTTAGTACAACATAAATAGAATTTGCAGCCTCTGCTGCCAGAGCCTCTATGTGCAATAAATTGTTGGCTTGGTTAAGCGACTGTAATGTGATGTCATTAATACATTGATTTTGGCCCCCCTCACCTTAGTAGGCTTTTCCACTGCAATTAATTGTACTAAAAACAAATATCCTGGCATTCGGAAGGTTTAAGTGAAAGGCATCTGTTTTTATTACTCTGATGTTTACTTCTCAGCCCCTCCACTGGGGTTTCTAGAACTTTGGATTGTGCTTTACATGCATGTAAGATGCACAGAGTAAGTTTTGAGTGTGGTAACATAAGCAACACTGGACTTGCTCATAAATAAGGCAGTCTAATTTGTATCACTAGCACAACTTGCAAGCTAGAGTTGAGAACATGCTTTCTTCCCAGCGAAGGTATTTACAGAATTCAGCTCAGCACAACCATTTGAAGCGTCTTTGGTTTTATACCTTCAATTTCTGCATTAAGGAGGTTTTTATTACATTGGGTAAAACAATTGAAAAGCTCCTCAACCCTTCTGACCCAACTTTCTCCCCCTCCCCCTCCCCATCACTTCTCATTGAGCATACAGGAAAATGTATTTGATTTTTTTTTCTTCTCCGAAAAGTGATATTTCCTTATGGGAATTCAGAGCACTATAGTTAAGGGAAGGGCCTGGGTTATGTGTTATTACAAGCAAGTAATGGGAAGTTGAGATAATGTGGTCACAGTTCCCCAGAGCTGAGTTTAGTTCTGTTTAAAATCTTTCACTGTTTCTATCCCATAAACCTCTGTTTGTGTCTGTTTCAATATTCCCTTGTAATGACATTTCCTAAGCTGAAAAGTTGGCTGGACAGCTGAGAATTGAGGACTCTTTCTCCCCAGGAACATTCTGTATGATCTCTTTGACTATATCTGGGTCGTCAGAGTATAAAACCTAGAGTTCTTGTTTAGCTGGGGGTGGGGAATTCCTTTCTTTCTTTTTTCTTTTCCTTTTTTTTGTTTTTCTGTCTCTGTTTCTGTTTTTGTTTTTTTGTTTTGCCTTTGGTACTAAGCAAGTGTCCCCAGTGTTAACTAATTTCTCGTCTTGGCTGTTTGGGAAAAAAACACTATTAAACCAACACTGACATTAGGCCTCGGACTAACTGAGCATGTCTCTAGAGAGCTTCATGTAGCTTTAAATACCATAGGGTAGAACATGGCATTGAACCTGCTGCCCCTTGATGCAATGCCAAGTTCTGGTTCCTCTTGATGTTTATAAATCAACTGGATGATTTTGAGGAGAGGTTACTTAGGCAGGGAACCTTTTTTTTTTTAATTTATTTTTTTATTCATTTGGTGTGTGTGTGTGAGAGAGAGCAAAGGAGAGAAAAACCTGAACCTTGGGTTAATAGCA